CCGTTCAAAGCAATATACCTCTTTGCGGTCGGTTCCAGTGTAGGCTTTTCATTTTGTTCTTATGATCTTGAGCTTTATGGAGCTGATATCTATTATTATGTGGTCACTCTACACAGGAGAGCCTCTTTTTGTAGGCCGCAGTGTGGGGATCTAGGCTTTGCTGTTCTGATATATAGTCAGTCATCATTTCTTGCAAAAATGGGGCACAGTTCCTTGGAAAGTAGTCCCCCAGGGAGAGCTCCAAGTTTCTTATAGTGTGTTCAGAATATAAACATGGAAATATCTGGCTTATACTGACGTGAAAACACTGAAGAAGTTGGCACCGTATGAAAGCAGAATGGAATTTACTTTAAAGTAGAAGTTCTCTCGATACACTACACCTAAAACCTGAGAAGTTTTAAATGGGATAATATCCTATATAAGCACTTAATTTATGTAAATTGATTAATATGCCTGACCTAGAAATTAAGATAAATTCAAATGGATTGCTTGAAAATAATTTATCTTAAAGATTTCCTGAGCAACAGCATCTGTTTCCCATAAAACTGGTAGTTATAGAGATGCTAAATAGTAAATAATATATTAAATAAAATAGTTATCTTAGGTAATGTTAATGATTTTTAGTCATAAACTCCTTCATCTTGCAAACAAAATTTACTATAATAGGTAAATTTTAAAGTTTACATAGATAACAAACCAGAAAATATTCATTATTTAGTATGTAGTTACTCACTAATTTTATGTATGTATGTTGCATGTATGTATATATGTATGTATGTATTCATTCAGTGATTTGATAAATATATAGTCAGCATCTAACAGGTACCAGACACTGTGGTAGGCTGGGAATATAACAGTGTATAAGGCAATGTCATTGCTTTTTACAATCTAGCAAGAATGATAAGAACTAACAAATAAACACATTCATATATACGCTATTTCATTAATTCTAAGATGCATTTAAAGAATAAATGTATTTTTAAAATATATTTTTATTGATTTCAGAGAAGAAGGGAGAGGGAGAGAGAGATAGAAACATCAAATGATGAGAATCATCGATCTGCTGCCTCCTGCATGCCCCCGAGTGGGGATGGAGTCCAGGCATATGCCCTGATTGGAACTGAACCATGACCTCCTGGTTCATAGGTTTACACTCAACCACTGAGGCACACCGGCCGGGCAAGACAAGGTCTTGATTGCTCTGAGCCTGGGTTGTCTTGTTTGTGAAATAAAGATGGTGACCATAAGGCAGTCCTGGGGTTTAAATGACCAGGGTATATACAATGCCTGGCAAAGGGTTAAAACTCAGCTAAGAGTAAGGGCCTGGCCTCCGGTTTGATAGCATTCTAGAATTCCACCACCTATTAGTCTGGGAACCCCAATATGACAAATGAGTCCATGCAGCTGAGCCCTGTCCAGAAAACTGAGGCTGGGCTCAGCTATACCTTCCAAATTCCCTGATTAAGGGTACCCAGGAGTCCCTTGGAGTCTAAAAATGTGGTAACAAACTGGGGGTCTCGGACTCCCTGATAGAAGATGAGGCCCCAGGGGGAGGCCTTCCTGCCCCGGGGTTCCCAGGGAGCCCCTGGCGCCCACCCAGTGCCCCCAGTGTGAGGAACCTCCTGCTTGACGGAGGAAGCAGCGCAGAAGGCAGGCTTTTCGGATGGACTGAGTTCTCAGCAGCTCGGGGAAAACAGGCCGGGATGGTCAATTTCAAAACACCTGGCTGTGCCCCACAGGCACCCTTGCTTGCCTCTCCCTTTGGGCATGCCCTCGCCACTTTCTCCCAGAACCACTCCTGAACAGGAGGCTTGCTCTTCATAGAATGCCCTTCTTTATGCCACTTTGCCTGGAAACCATTCATCCTTCAAAGACGGCTAATAAGTTCCTTCCCCTTGAAACCTGTACACAATTGTCAACTCCTAAGCAGCTGGGCTCACCGGCTCCGAGCTGATTTTTGGCTCACTGTGGTTTGATGGCCTCTTTACACAGTCTCTGAGCAGCAAGGATGACATGTTAAATATCATCATGCCCTCCTAACAAATCTTTGCTAAATGAAGAAAAAGGGGCCTGAATTATGCTGAAGTTGTTAGGAATGAAAAGGAACTAAATCTAGAATTCTTGGGTGGGGAAGGAATTCTGTGTTTGTGACAAAGAAAAATGGCCCGGGGGGGTCACAAAGACCTTCACACTTCCTTGTCATGTGACCTTGGACAAGTCACTTAATTTCTCCGAGTCTTAGAGACTTTCCATCTCTAAGATGGAGGCAATAATTTCTATCCTTACTCCCTGGGCAGTGGTGGGGTCAAATGGTTCTGCGGTAAAAGCACATTATCCGGTAAAAAGCTGTTGGGATGTCAGCCGCAACTGCTCATTAAGGGAGAAATAATCAGGATGGGTCACTGGGAGGAGGGAGAAGTGACGATTAGGATGGGTTTAGGCCCAAGTAATTAGGACCAAAGGGTTGAGCTGCTCTCAGGCCCTGTCCTCGGGGCAGGTGCTCGGACTCCGGAGAATGTTCTCGAGAACAAGCCTTCCTCCCGCTCCCCCATGAAGCTATCCCGTCCGGGGCCGAGTGCCGGCCCCCGTTTTGGGATAAAGCCTCCTCCCTGGGGAAGCCTCTGGCTGCTCCCTTCCCGGTGGTGCCCCGCACCCACTGCCGAGGAAGCGCCTCTGCAGGCGATACCCCTCCTCTCAGGGAGCCAGGGTTGATTAAATCCACTATTAATTACTTAATCACCAACAAGGAGTTCACCAGCGGCCCCGACTCCCCTGTCCGTCTCAGGAAATGCTCTGCACAGACCACGTCGGCCCCAAGAGGCCATTTTCTTCGCTAGAAGCTGAGGCCCCGGGGGCGAGGCCTTCCTACCCCGGGGTTTCCAGGGAGCCCCTGGCGCACACCCCGCGCTCCCCGGATACCGGGCCGGCAGAGGCGGTCTCCGCCACCGTCTGGCAGCGGCGGCCTCCACGGCCACGCTGGGGCTGGGGCTGGGCCACTTCCCCCCTAGGTCTCGAGGCCAGTCCGCGGGTGGACGTCGCTCGGGACTCGAACCTGCCTTCTCATCTCCGAGGCCTAGTCCGACGTTGCTGTGCTAACGCAGTCACACTGTCCCTTTAAGGCGGCACTTTTTATACTTCATTTGTTTACTTCTTCATGCGCTTTTCATTTTTTTTGCAAAATGTGTCACAATATCCGTCCGCAATCGTCAGTACGAGGTTCTAGCAATACACTTTTAAAACATTTCCGTAATCTTAAGAATCGAAAGCTACCAGCCATGGGCCTATAGGTCTCTTTATAAGATTTAATTTTTTTTACACTTTAGGGACTACTTTTTAGGAGTAAACCATTTTTTTGATCCAGTTAACAAATGATTACGACCTTCGGCACCTTCCCACTGAGTACAGAATACGATAGCATGCTTTAAAACGCACCTTTGTATTAAAATATTCTGTGTGGGCCCTCACAGACCTTCGAACCTTCTCGTATTCCTGAAGCAGAATGGTACGGTCCAGAGCCCGCCCCCTCTCTCTGCATTGGCTTTCCGCCTCCGCGCAACGTGTGACTGTTAGCCAATGGGCACCCACGTTTCCCCAGCGAGGGACAGGCGGCGGAGGGCGGTGGCCTGGGAGACGCTCCCTACGCGACCTGGCATTGGCTACGTCGCACGGCGCGTGTAGCGGCGGGCCGCAAAGATGGGGACTACGAGTCCCAGCGTCCTGCAATGGGGACCTCATCACGCATGCGCATGGGCGGCGGCCAAGCTTCTATATAAAAGCGGCGCCGAGCGCTGGGAGGCAGCAGTTGGAAGTTGGCAGGTGGGGAGGCAGGTTGGGAGGGGCAGCTGGGGGAGGAGGCGGAAGAGCTGTCGGGAGGGGGAGGAGGGAGGGAGGGAGGAAGAGAGGAGAACTGAGCTGAGCAGAGCAGAGCATTGAGCCAAAGGGGAGATGAGTTTGTCTGTCCTCGGATGAGGCTCCGGCCCGGCCTAAGGAACTGGGAGCTCGGGTTGGAGCGACACCCGTGGAAGTGGGAGGAGGTGGCTCTGGGACCTTAACCCCTTGTGAGCTCTGCGGCAGGGGATTTAACCCTTTGTGGGTCCGGCCCCTCAGAGGCAGCGTCATCGGGTAGTTTTAACCCCTTCGGGGCTGGGTTTAACCCACTGGACTTAACCTCATCTAACCCACCAATTCCTCCATCGTGGGGGGCGCTCTGCGGGGAGGCTCGAGGCCGACCCCCTTCGTACATTACGTGCTGTTCCTGCTGCTGCACCCCTTTGGACCTGCTTAGCTGATCGCGCGGTGGCGCTTAACCCTTTAGTGACTTGAGCGCCCCCAAGTTGCAATTGGAGTTCGCTGACAGGACCGGCTGAAGGCATCACTGCAGGAATTACCGAAGTGGAATCTGTTGGACATTTTTTTCTTCAAGAAAAGAAAAACCTCTTTTTTCTTCAAGGACTTGCAGCCAAAATTCTCCAAACTTTGAGGACTCTTGTTGCCATGGCCGAGCCACTCGTGTCGGAATTTCAGCACCAGCCTCAAACTGGCAACTGTGCAGGTGCTGATGCTGTCCAGGAAGAGCGGAACCCCGACCGCCCCCCGGGCGCAGAGGAGCCGGTGCCCCAGGACGACAGTAGGTGGCAAGCAAGAGCGCTCCCCCAGCCGGGTGGCCGTCCAGGGCCAGAGGGGGAAGGGAGCCTGGACCCCCAGCCGTCTCCTTTGCCAACCCAGGTCTGTCCAGAACCTCGCTGCCTGGAAGCGGACGAAAAGGGCCAGAATGGAGATGACTCGTCCGCTGGCGGACCCGCCCCGCCGCCAGCGGGAGGGGAACAGAGGCCCGAGACCGAGCCGCTCACCCAACCGTGTCATGACTCCGAAGCCAACAAGTTGGGGGCTCCTGCCGCTGGAGGCGAGGAGTCGTGGAAACAGCAGCAGAGACAGCTGGGCAAGAAGAAACACAGGCGACGCCCTTCCAAGAAGAAGCGGCACTGGAAGCCGTACTACAAGCTGACTTGGGAGGAGAAGAGAAAGTTCGACGAGAAACAGAGTCTTCGAGCTTCGAGGGTTCGAGCCGAGATGTTCGCCAAGGGCCAGCCGGTGGCGCCCTATAACACCACGCAGTTCCTCATGGATGATCATGACCAGGAGGAGCCGGACCTCAAAACCGGCTTCTACCCCAAGCGCGCTGCGGCCAAGTCGGACACCAGCGACGAAGAGTTTATGGAAGAGGCGGGTGAGGAGGATGGGGGCAGCGACGGGATGGGCGGAGACGGCAGCGAGTTTCTGCAGCGGGACTTCTCGGAGACGTACGAGCGGTTCCACGCGGAGAGCCTGCAGAACATGAGCAAGCAGGAGCTCATCAGGGAGTACCTGGAGCTGGAGAAGTGCCTCTCTCGCATGGAGGACGAGAACAACCGGTTGCGGCTGGAAAGCAAGCGGCTGGGCGGCGGCGACGACGCGCGCGTCCGGGAGCTGGAGCTGGAGCTGGACCGGCTGCGCGCCGAGAACCTGCAGCTGCTGACGGAGAACGAACTGCACCGGCAGCAGGAGCGGGCGCCGCTGTCCAAGTTTGGGGACTAGACTGAAACTTTTTGGAGGGGAGGGACAAAGGGGACTTTTTACAGTGCTGGAATGTAACATTATATACATGTGTATATAAGACAGTGGACGTTTTTATGACACATAATCAGAAGAGAAAATCCCCCCGGCTTTGGTTGGTTTGGTAAATTTAGCTATGCTGTAGCTTGCGTGCTTTCTGCTGTTCTTTAATTATGTGAAACTGAGGGATGCGTTACTTTTCTTTTTAGAAGGTTGTTTTTTTATGTGTAATTTGACCAAGTTACAATGCATTTTCTGTTAAAAATCCTCTCAAACTGATCTATAAGGTGGCCAAATCTGAGAACCATTAAATTCATTCTAGTTATAATAAATTTAATATTTGTAAATGTAATATAGTTTAAGTGTGATTTCTAGAATTAATTCAAAATAGTGCTGATTTATGCGATTGCATTTTGGGGAGGTAAAGAAGTTATTTGTTTGGAAGAAATCTCAATGGGAGAATTTTCAATGTGCTGATTTTCCTCTTGAATGAGTTCTTGTGTGCTACAATATATAGTTCAGGCAAAATATAAAGATTTAAATAGCTTATAACTTAGTGTGCTTGCTTCCTAGTGCCTTGGTTTTCCTTTCCGATGCTGGAGAAATAAACCAGTATTGGGTGTTTGGGGAGTAGAAAGTGGCTACAATTGGGAGCTTAAAATTTAATTCTGCTCACTAGCCATTCAAAAGTCTATTAACAAAAATATACATCTAATTTGGCAGACAACTGACAGCCTCATTTCATTCCTACAGTAGGTTTTTAGTAATCTCCACCCCACCCGCCTCCTCTCCCCTCCCCTTTGAGACTGGAAGGAGCTCCTAGATACCTGAAAGAGGCTCTAGGTAAACCTATTGCTTAATGCAAACAATGGCTGGATAACCTTATGGGGCAGCTCTTTATGTTAAAATGTTTAGAGATAGGGGATATTGGATTTATAAAAGAAAGCTGTTTGGAGCATTCCAAGGACTTACCCTTGTTGAATACTTAGGGTGCTCCCTATACCAAAAAAAAAAAAAAAAAAAGGAATAGGAGCTGCCCACCTTTCTATGAGGGTAAAACTGTAATTATAAATGTCCCCCTCACTGCAAGTCAAATATAAAGCTTCTGGTTAAAGAGCTAAATTAACTCCTTGGGGGCTGAGTGGGAACCCTGCACGTATTTCCTGTACAGCTGCTATTGTCTCCTAAACTGCGCTGATAGCAATTCTTGAATAGTTCTGATCTTGAAAATGCAGGGAGACCCTAAGAATTTCTGCCCGCAAATCAAAATAGTAAGAAATTAGGACTGTTCCCTCCTGCCCATCACCTTCAGCTGCCCTGTTTCCTTAGGGTAACTGCACCACTCAAATCACTAGCACAGGGGTTCCTTAACTTGGGGCCTTAGAACCATAGGGAGCCTTGGGGTCCACAAACCCCATAAAATTATATGTAGACTTGTGTTATATGTACACTTTTCCAGGGAAAGGGTTCAAGAGAATGAGACTGTCAAACTTGAAGGTTTAAAAACTCCTTCCGGGAAAGGGAAAAGCCTCCCACTGCGTAGATCCTTTTGCAGATAAATAGTGGAGGAGGTGGAACTTCAAGAGTGAAGCGCACCTTATGATGCATAAGGAGCATACACAAACCAATGAGTCAAAGGGAATTATGCTGGTCAAGACTGACTCAAGGCCCTCAAAGCTGGACTGAGCTGGCCTCTGGCCCTATTCTGGTAATGACCCATGGGAGACAATGTATAGTCAGTTTTTCCTTTCGCCTAAAATTTACATTAAATGTCTAATTTGAAATAGTTTTCTTCGTCTTTTTAATATTTCTTCTACTATGACATCATGCAGCAGTCCCAGAAACCGCGCTGCTTGATGGAAGGGCAGCAACACTGCCCTCTGGCTTTTTAGTGCGGAGCAGAAGCCTCGTTTTGATTGCACAAGGATGCAATGCAGCAGTGATAACCTCTAATTTCAGAACCTCTTCTGAAGACAGATTGATGTAAAAGAATCCTGTTTCCCCTACTATTAGTCTTGGAGAGACTTTACAAGTACATTTATCAGAAAATACTGTATGTTTTACTCTTAAAAGACAAATGCAGTCCCGTTTTTAAAAATATATTTAACTCATAAATTTGCTATCTTGAGCTATACAACTTTCTAAATTCTGCTTTCAAAGGCACTGGTATTTTACTATATTTATTGCATTTATATTCTTGGAATGATGAGTTTTGTGTGAAATAGGAGTTTCTATCAACACTTTCTACATTGAAAGAGTTGACTAGTCTATTGTCTCAGGGCAGAAGACTCTGAATTACCTATATTAACGGGGAGTTTGTGATGACAAATATGCTCATATCCACTCTACCCTTTCACTAAAGTATCTCCTGCCAAACATTTCAACTGAGCTACACAAAAGACCATGCTTACACATTGGCAATTTCAGTTTCTAATACTGGGCCTGGATATCTAGCCAGGACAAAGCACTGCCTAAACTTTGAGACAGCTGGCTGGATAGCTTAAGCCTCCTCTCAGTAAGAAAAACTTTTCCTGGGCTAGCCTAGAACATAAAAGAGGCTCTCAGGAGACAGGTGCCTTCAGATTTCAGTGTGAGGAGAAAAAGCCAGGGAGTTCGATTAGTTTATTTCTGAAAAATAGACTAGGTATCTCTAAAGAGAGGAAAATGGTAAAAATTAGACCAGACTCGAAGTCAAAGAACCCGGGTTCCAGTCATACCTTTAACATATACGTGCTAGCAATGCAATCCTAGACACATCTCTCAAACTCTCTGAGCCTCATTCTTCATCAGCAAAAGGGGGCTATGGCTACTTTACAGAACTGTTAAAAGTATTAAACGAATAGTATGAAAATGTTTTACACATGCATATAGCAGTTGCCCATTTGATGTTTTGTTTGTTTTTTATTATCCGACGATTTTTTTTAATTGACTTTAGAGAGAGAGAGGAAGGGAGGGAGGGAGAGAAACATGGATCAGTTGCCTCCCGTACGTGTCCAACTAGGGATCAAACCCACAACCTGATCAGTATTTCTTCACTTCACCCAGGATTTATAAAAATGTTTTATATAAATATAAAAATCCTTTGTTTGGGGAAATGTAAACCAACATACTTTATCCTAATGACTTCAAAAATTAGAGAAACCAAAGAGTGAATCCAATAAATTAAAAAAAAAAAATCCACAATCCAACAGTTTACTTTCAGAAAATCAAGAACTGGCTATATTTAATCAAACATTAGGTAATACACTGCAAATGTCCCCCTGGCCACTTACACCCAGAATTGCTGGCAATGAATATTCACAATAGTGTGATGGAAAAGTTGGCTAGAGTAAGGATGGTACTTGTACCTAACTAGATACACTTGCGTATGTTGTGATTTTTTAAAATTACTTTTTCACATTTGACAAGATCATTGGAATAAAACTCCACTTTACTATTCTTTCCCACATGAAGTGTAAATCGCTGATGCCAGGATGAAAAGTAATTTTTAAGAGAAAATGTCAAATATAGGACCTGAACACAGTGGAGTCTGCTGACCAAAGTGTAATAGTCACACTTTGCAAATGGGACCAAATCTATGGTCTAGGAGGGAAAGTTTCAATCTTTGGCCAAGTTTTGCCAGTTGTCTTTGAATATTGGAAAGCTTACAACTTCTTTCCATCTCTTGTTGAAAAAACAAAGGCTGGGTTTAGACAAATCAATGCTGTAGCTTTTACAAATCTTCCCGAATTAACTTTTTCTTGTTTTTCTTATAGTTGGTTCAATTATCAAAATTCTTTCAAATGGTTGAGATGCTACAGGAAACTGTTGGTAAGTCTTGAAATAGTGTGATTAAAAAAAAATATTATTGATTTTTTACAAAGAGGAGGGGAGAGGGTTAGAGAATTAGAGAAACATCGATCAGCTGCCTCCTGCACACCCCCCACTGGGGATGTGCTCGCAACCAAGGTACATGCCCTTGACCGGAATCGAACCTGGAACCCTTCAGTCCACAGGCCGATGCTCTATCCACTGAGCCAAACCGGTTCTGGCTGAAATAGTGTGATCTTTTAATACTGCACCAAGAACAGTTACATTGGGCCCTGACTGGTTTGGCTCAGTGGATAGAGCATCGACCTGCGGACTGAAAGGTCCCAGGTTCGATTCTGGTCAAGGCATGTACCTTGGTTGCGGGCACATCCCCAGTAGGGGGTGTGCAGGAGGCAGCCAATCGATGTTTCTCTCTCATCGATGTTTCTGACTCTCTATCCCTCTCCCTTCCTCTCTGTAAAAAAAAATCAATAAAATCCTACCTAATAATAGACAAACATGGTAATTGACCATACCTTCGCTACACCTCCCACTGGCTAATCAGCACGATATGCAAATTAACCACCAACAAAGATGGCGGCTAATTTGCATACCGCAGGCAGGGTGGGACAGCGCCATCCCGCCTGCCCCGCTGCCATCCGGGCCTGCTATCTGTGACCCGGGGCGGCGGGCGTCCCGTGTGCGACCTGGCCCGGGGAGGCCAGGCGGGGCAGCGAAGGCTTGAAGGCGGCTCCAGCCAGAACGAAGGCCTGGGTCCCGGGTGCCGGAGGAAAACCAGTGCCAGCAGCCAGGGGAAGGGAAACCCCATTGCACGAATCTTTTCGTGCAACAGGCCTCTACTATATTAAATAAAAATAAAAAAAAGAACAGTTACATTGGCTTACACATTTTTCCCCCCAAGAACAAACATTCAGAACGGAATTGCAAACACTCCTCTGAAGTCATGTTCTATTTGACACATTCACTGACTTTGTGTGAAGTGTTAAAAAGCCCTAGGTCTGCAGTGAGCAAAAAGAATATTCCTGAAGGGAAATATTCCTGAAGCTTTAGAGTGCTCCACGCAAAATAATTTGAGAAAATGATAGCATCCCTGCTCTTATAAACTACTCAGCAGAACTTGTCCTAACCTCCACAGAGTCATAAAAAGGGGTTAATTTGAAATTCTGAAACCTGCTCTAAACATGTAATTCTGCATATCTGGATAACTCCAGTATAATTTTCAGGCAAAGGCAGAAGACCAAACGAGGATGGAAGTGAATGTGTAAGAGGTTAGTTTTACCTTCCTTTCTAGTTAATACTAAAAATGTACTTAACAAAACAGCAAACATTTGAACAGTTTAGAAAGACAGAAAATAGAGGAGAATGGTGAGAGCTAAACACAAAGAATAGCCCAGCCAGCATGGCTCAGTAGTTGAGCATTGATCTATGAACCAGAGGGAAATGGTTGATTCCCAGTCAGGGCACATACATGAGTAGCAGGCTCCATCCCCAGAGTAGGGCTCGCAGGAGGCGACCGATCATCAGTGATGCTCTCTCATCACTAATGTTTCTATCTCTCCCTTCCTCTCTGAAATCAATAAAAATATATTTAAAAAATAAACACAAAGAATGAAAATGGATTAACTGTAGAAATCAAATAGTTCAGAAGCAAGTATCTTCATTCTGAAGAGGACTGCTGCAGAGAACCAATGAGCCCTAGCTGGTTTGGCTCAGTGGATAGAGCACTGGCCTGTGGACTGAGGGGTCCCAGGTTCGATCCAATCAAGGGAACATTCCCAGGTTGTGGGCTCAAACCCCAGTAGGGGGTGTCCAGAAGGCAGCTGATCAATGATTCTCTCATCATTGATGTTTCTCTCTCTCTCTCTCCCTCTCTGAAATCAATAAAAAATATATTTAAAAGCTCTTGAGCAAAGTATGTTACTTAATGCTCACACATAGCCAACTAGTCCCCAAAAGTTGGACCATCAGGCAAATGTACAACATCCAGGACTTTGTGGCAACAACTGCTTGGTACCCTGAGAGATTGACCCTCGTTCAGCCTATTGGATGGGCAGGGCACCCTTTGTACTGCCATGGGCGCATTTCAGTAAGGCAGACCTCCCAACTACTCCAAATAAACTTCAAAGGAGAAGTGCTAATGTTCCCAAATAAGGAAGTTATAGCAAGTAAATGTTTAGACAGATGGCTACTGAAGAACAGTTACTTCTCAAATATTTATGAGGTAGCATTAATACCATTTTCAAATTAGGAAACTGAGGCATACCCAATAAATTCAATAAAAAATAAAAATTTTAAAAAGGAAACTGAGGTATATACAAAATAGTCTATTGTAGAATTTGTCATAAACTACAAAGCAACTCATCTGAAAGGAGCGAGCTGAGAAGGAAGTCGAAGGTTTGATTGAACATTAGATGAATAGACTCAGCAACAAAACAGTTTGGCCTAATCTTTAGGATTTGGCCTCTAGCCAAACCAACCACGGCAGTGGCAGCACACAGAAATAGAACTTGGAGTTCCTAATTTCCAGTCCTGTGTTTTGTTCAGTAAATAACCAAACGAGTTTTATTTCCAACTTTTCTTATCAAGGAATGGAAAAGCTTATGGGTCAAACCTTAAAGAGGATAAGCTTTCATTTTTATAAATGAGTAACAAACTTCTGTACCAGGTATTCTCCACTTAGTAACATCCAAAGGTTTAACTATATTACTTCAAAATGGAGGATAAGCCCTAGCCGGTTTGGTTCAGTGGATAGAGCGTCAACCTGCGGACTGAAGGGTCCCAGGTTCAATTCCAGTCAAGGGCATGTACCTTGGTTGCGGGCACATCCCCAGTGGTGGGTGTGCAGGAGGCAGCTGATCGATGTTTCTCTCTCTCATCGATGTTTCTAACTCTCTATCCCTCTCCCTTCATCTCTGTAAAAAAAAATCAATAAAATATATTTTTAAAAATGGAGGATAAATCACAAGAGTCTGAGATCCTCCTCCATTAAATTGACAGAAGCAGCACAAAGGTAATCTTCAGAGCCCCTTTCAGCTTCTGTGACTATTTAACTTAACTCCTACCAAGTTAGTGGCAGCTTTTCCTAACTAGAGTCTTGAGCTGAAGAACATGTAAAGTGAACATGACGTAAGCAACTCAACCTACAGTATGAATCGAGTGTATTGAAGCTTCATTTAGGATTAAGTAGTTCAAATGTTCGATTAAGAACTGAAATCAATGTGATCATATCTTTGCAATCCAGTTCTAAGATTTTCTCTGAGAATAGCTGGGGGGTAGAGGTAATTGTTAAGGCTGTGGAACTGTCACTCTTACAACTTTTTAAAACATTTACTTTATAAAGAGGAGGAGCAGGGATTCAGTGTCTTGCTATTAAGGCCAAAGACTTAGAAATGATTTGGCCATCTCTAACTGGCAATGAGATTCTTCAAAAGGTAACCTCAAAGAGGAAGTCACTGCCCAGTCACTCCCCTGCTTCAGAATCTACCTAACCATAATTTTTATTTTATTTTATACTTTTTATTGATTTTTTTTTACACAGAGGAAGGGAGAGGGATAGAGAGTCAGAAACATCGATGAGAAACATCGATCAGCGGCCTCCTGCACACTCCCCAACTGGGGATGTGCCTGCAACCAAGGTACATGCCCCTGACCGGAATCGAACCCGGGACCTTTCAGTCCGCAGGCCGACGCTCTATCCACTGAGCCAAACCGGCTAGGGCCTAGGCATAATTTTAACTGGCATTTTAGTAAAAGAATTATTAAAATATCCCTGAGCTACAAACCTCCCTGCATTTAGATTTCCAGCAGTAGGAAACGAGTTTAATCCGCAATTCCAAAAGAGAATTCCACATTAAACTCCAACCTTTAAGAAGCTACTACAGCTGTAATGTCAGGCTGAGTTGTTGTTTTTCAGAGTAGGTGTCCCCTCTCTCCAAAACTCCATGAATGTGCAGGAGCTCCAAACTGCAAATTCTAAAATAGTAACATCGGATCTACAGAAGAGATGTTCAATGACATGACATTTCAAAATAGAGGTTCCCCAGTAACAATGCACCGGCGGCAAAACACTCCCCCGTTTAGTTGGTGGGAGAAAAGTTCTTTAAACTGGAAAGAATTTGTAAGTCTTATAAAGATTACATGGGAATTCGTGCGTGTTTGTGTTTTTTTTTTCCTCTAGGAGGGATAGACATTTCTCCAAAAGTTTTGGTAGAAGTGATGGCTCAGATTTCAAAATGCAAACAGATGTTCCTGAAGCCTCCGAGAGGGGCCACTCCCCTTTTATTTCCATAGTCCTGGCGACTCCTAAGTTATTTTGTGTCCCAACACCCATGCCCCTTTGATGTAAACTTTCACGAAAAGTGGGAAAACACTTTTTTTGGAGTTTCCCCAAGTGGCTGGCGCCGTACGAGGTCAGGTGGTTCCGAGAATGGGCGCTGGTCGGGACAAACCTCGAGGACAAGAGCGCCCAGACTTCCACGCACCGGGGTCCTGCAGGCGTCTGCACGCGCCCACCCCGCCGGGCCCGGGGGCTCGGGTCGGACGTCACCGCGGGAGGCAGCCCGGGCCCGGGGGCTCGGTGTACGGGGCGGGGAACAGTGGGTGGGCCGGGCTCTCCGACCTCCGAGCCCCCAGCTCGCCGACTGCCACGCCAGAGGGACGCGCGGCCAGCGCCTCCACCGCCACCCTCCCCGGCGGCGCAGTCTTTGGAATCTGGCGTCTTGGCCACTTCGCCCGTCCAAGTGGGGGCGGGGTGGCCGCCATACCCAGGCCGAATGGGGCCGGGAAAAGAACTTGACAACGCTCGGCCGCATGACCTGCGCCCCCGTGGGAGGACAGCAGAAGAGAGTCGCTTCACTCGGTCTCTCCCCAACCTGGGGTCTCGGGAAACACGCGGTAATGACCCAAGAACCCCGCCCTCCGGGAGAGGCGAGGCGGCGAGGCTGCCGGGACGGTTTGAGGACCAGGCCCGGCTGGGAAGACTCCAACCTTCACCTCCCAGGTCCCCGATCCCACTTCCCGCCGTCTCCCGGCGTCGCCACTTCAGGCAGCCCACTGGGCCCGGTCTCGCCCCACGCCCGGACCGCCCCCCAGGGGGTGCTCTCACTGTGCAGCGAGTCCCTCCGCTGCCTCCTCCCAGCCCAAAATGGCGGCGGCGGCCACCGCTCCTTCTCGTCGCCTTCCTCTAGGGCCCGGGATCCCTCCGCGCCCACAGCCTCTCCCCCCTTGGCCGGATCTATTTTCTGCCTAGTAAAGATTAACGCCATCAATGAACTCTTTAATTGAGCTTGGGAGGCGAATCCGGTTGTGCTTCCGCACGGCAAACGTCGACATAAGCGGAAATATTGACAGACGAGCCGGCCAATAAAAAGACAGAGGTGAGCGCGGGACGACTCCCGCGCAAGGCTAGATGGGTTTTGGAGTTCGCGGGGTAGCTGTTGACGTGACAGCATCTTGGGTCGCCTTCCAAGGCCAGAAGAACTACAATCCCCAGCAGGCACCGCGCTGTAAAGGCTGTTCCCTCCGCCCTTCCTCCCCGCCCCACAACCTTAGCGCCTGAGCGGCTTGACCGGGGAGAGCTGCTGCAACTGCAGCAAGAGGTAGGGCTGAGGCGCTGGAATTGCAGACGGGCGATTGCACAGAAAGACAACAGATGTAGTCGGTGTGCATAGCCCTTGCCCTTGACAACAAATAGGTCAGTTCCGCCTTTGCAAAACCTCTCTCCCCGACCATTTCCTCTCTTCTAAAGAATCCATCCTTACCCCGTTTGGGTTTCCTTCCCAGCTCCCTATAATGTGAAGCCCCTTTCCTCTGTTTCCCACCCTGAGAGGAAGTAGGGAGGCAGGCCATGCCCTGGCGATGAAAAGGCCTCAGTCCCAGGCTCAGCTCAGGCCCCAGGCGTGTTTCTTGAGGCATTGACTTCTGGAGCCCAGCCTGGGTAGGGGTTGGGGGCCGCAGTTAAGATTGAGGCCCCTGGAGAGGACCTCCTGTTGTTGGAGCCACCGGCCCAGTCCACTGAGTCTCTCCAGGGCGTTGCTGTGTGCACAGTGGCCGCCCCAGGCAGCCTGCTTTCCCACTTTGGTTGTTGGGGGAGCAAAGCCTAGTCCTGCCTTCCCAGCTGCCAGCCTGGTCCTCGGTGACTTCCAGGTGAGCAGCATAGGATGTCGGCCTGGCCCTGAGGCCTGAGAAACAGGGCGGGGAAGGTGGTTTCTTTATCCCCATTTGGCCCCTTGCTGGCTGCAGGTGTGAAAAACAGGGTGGAGGCAGCCTTCCGGGCCTTCAATTGAAAATGAGGTTGTGCAGGTCTGGTGCTACAAAATGGCTGCTGTTGCCTTGGTAAAAAACTCCCGGGCAGCCCGTCTTCCTGAGAATTCTCCTTCAGGACTTAGGTTTCTGTTGTTGTTTAAAGCAGGTGTCACTAGTTAAAGGCATCTGCTGAGAGATTTGGAACAGAAGAAGGTGGCCCCTCCGAACCAGACCAACTGTAACACAGAGCCATCAGCAGCCATGGAGGAGGCCAAGGTAAGGCTCGCCCTCCCAGCCCCCGGAATGCCCTGAACATGGGTCGTGCCATCTGGGAGCCTGGTTTCTTGTCTCAGATGTGTTGGCAGATTTGGAAAAATCAGTATGTTTAAATGAGTTCCTACTATGCGCTGAGTAATATGCCAGATGCTAAATCTGTGCTATCTCATGACATCCTAGAAGCCCTTCAGGATAGGACTTATTGTTTCCATTTCACAGAAGCTAAGGTTCTTTTTTAAAATATATATATGTTTTTTGCCTTAACCAGTTTGGCTCAGTGGATAGAGCGTTGGCCTGCAGACTGTAGGGTCCCAGGTTCGATTCAGGTCAAGGGCACATGCCGGGTTTGTGAGCTCAATCCCCAGTGGGGGTCACACAAGAGGCAGCCAGTCAATGATTCTCTCTCACCATTGATGTTTCTATCTCCCTCTCTGAAATCAATAAAAATATATACATATAAAAATATACATTTTTAAAAAATATATTTTATTGATTTTTTACAGAGAGGAAGGGAGAGGGACAGAGAGCCAGAAACATCGATGAGAGAGAAACACCGATCAGCTGCCACCTGCACACCCCCTTACTGGGGATGTGCCTGCAACCAAGGTACATGCCCTTGACCGGAATAGAACCTGGGACCCTTCAGTCCGCAGGCTGACACTCCATCCACTGAGCCAAACCAGTTAGGGCAAAAATATACATATTTTTATTGATTTCAGAGAGGGAGGAAGAGAGAGATAGAAGCATCAGTGATGAGAGAAAATCATTGATTGGTTGCCTCCTGCACACCCCACTCTGGGGATGGAGCCCGCAATCCGGGCATGTTCCCTGACCGGGAATCAAACCGTGGCCTCCTGGCTCATAGATTGACCGACACTCAACCACTGAGCCATGCCGGCTGGGCCATAGAAGTTAAGCTTCTCAGAGCTGAAATATCTTTTCTAGAATCATGCCATCAGCAAGCAACAGATCCGGGGTTTAAACTTAGGGCCTTCTGACAACAGAACCCTGCCTTGTCCAGGCTGAGAACCAAGTCTAAAGCAGGGAAAAGAGTTTGAGCACTTGGTTCATAATTTGGGATGTGTTGGGGGATAAGATACCACCCAGGAGAGATGAAGAGACATTGTATGAAGCCATTAGAATGTCACCTTCTGATCTGGCAACAGGAGCCCAAACCCTCCCAGACGGTGCTCTCGCTCACTGCCCCCACCTTGCCCATTCTTCTCCCCGAGTCCACAACTCCTTATAGCTGAGAGGAGAACTCAGCTCCTCTGACTCACCCGATCTAGCCACTTCCAGTGTTTCCTGGATTTCTTTAATTTGGACTTCATGACATGCCAGGGCTAGAAGGTTCGGAGAGGGCAAATGACTCACCCAGGTCACAGCTTCTGTGCAATAGTGGTAATGGTAGTAGAGGGACAAGCCTTTAGGAGGGAGGCAGCATGTGGGGCTGAGGGAAGGGCTGATTAGGGTGAGGGGAAAGATCATTAGGGAGCTTTGGCTGAGGGGCGGAGTGGGGGGGGGGGTAGGTGAATTATTGTGCACACAAAAACAAGCCACCCTGCCTTAAGAGTTCCCAGCGGACTGCCTCTTCCAGGGTGGGGCAGAGCTCTGTCTCATTTGACCTAAAACACTGGTGAAGACAGGGCAGTCACTCTTCATTGACTTCCCTGCAGGTGAATTAACAAAACAACACAAACACGCATGCACACACACACTCGAACATACCTCATTTTCCCTGACGTTCTCTTCCGGGTCTCCCAAATGCAGGTAACACACCTTCAGCTCTTACAGGGCTGCATACATCCCCCGATACACACCCTAGGCTTATATGGACCCATGCCCAGAGGTCTCTGAACTGTTGTACATTATAAAACAACATCCCACTGGTAGTAGTTATTATTAGAATTCCCCAAACCACAAACTTAGAGCAACTCGTTCCCCACTCCCCACTCCGTACTCCCACCCTCACCATGACAGAGATAACCCGCTGCCCTGAACACACGCTCTCTCGAGACAGAATCCTTTGCGCATCTTAGATAAGTTCTAGAATTCTCTCAGCTGCAGACTAGAGTTTGACCTTTCCTCTCCCTAGTTAGGATCTCTTTCCTGCCCCTCATGTGGATGAATACCAACTTCTGCCTGGAGTAAATGCACTCCTTTTTCTTTTTTTAAAAATATATTTTATTGATTTTTTACAGAGAGGAAGGGAGAGGGATAGAGAGTTAGAAACATCGATGAGAGAGAAACATCGATCAGCTGCCTCCTGCACACCCCCTACTGGGGATGTGCCCGCAACCCAGGTACATGCCCTTGACTGGAATCGAACCTGGGACCCTTCAGTCCGCAGGCCAACGCTCTACCCACTGAGCCAAACCGGTTAGGGCGCACTCCATCTTCTTCACCCTAGAATGACAGAAAAGAGAATCTTGTGTCCCAGTATCTTTTGGATCCCCCTCTTATGGGCTTTATGTCATTTAACATGTTTTTATTAAGTGCTTACCTTGGGCCATACACAGGGACACATCGGTGAACTGAACAGACAAGTCACATTCTTACAGGAGAAAGACAGATGGTAACGTGCTAAATGTGATGTATGATGTTAACTATGTCATGTGATAGGGAGTTAGTGGGAAGGGGAGATGAGAGGGCTACTTGATAGGCTGGTCAAGAACGGCCTCTCTGAAGAGATGACATTAGAACAAAGCCCTAAATAAAGGATGAAAAGAGTCAGCTATCTGCCCTGGCCAGTTTTGCGCAGTGGCTAGAGCCTCGGCCTGCGAACTGAAGTTCAATTTTGGTCAAGGGCATGTACCTCGGTTGCAGGCTCCTCCCTGGCCTGGGCCCTGCTCGGGGCTTGTGCAGGAGGCAACCAATCGATGTGTTTCTCTCACATTGATATTTCTGTCTTTCCCTCTCTCTCCCAGTCTCTCTGAAAAATCAATGGGAAAATATCCTCGAGTGAGGATTAAAACAAAACAAGCCAACAACAACAAAGAGTCAGCTATCCAGGTACCCCCAAGCAGGATCAGCGACATAATTTGTGCGGCTCAGTGCAAAGGGCTCTTTATTCAAAAATCAGTAAGAAGGCCCTTGTAGGGTCCTCTCGAATACCAAAAGGTTGTGGGTTCAATTTCCGGTCGGAGCATGTACCTAGCTTGTGGGTTCAATCCTGGGTTGGGGCAGGGACGGAAGGCAACGAATTGATGTTCTCACTCACGTCAATGTTCCCCCCTTCCCCTTCTTCTCTCTAAAATCGATAAGCATATCTTGTGTAAGGATTTAAAAAAATATTAAGAAGTTCAAGACAATGACAGCAGAGCATTAAGCAAAGCCTGGGGCTTTTTTGATGGGAGGCATTGAACTTGCAGTGAAATACACAGGTGAAATGCCTGCTCTTGCCTAGTTTGCTTAGGGCCCATTGGGGACAGACAGGAGACAGGTAAGCCATAAACAAACAAATGGTTGCAGAAGGCTGAGAGCTAGAGGTGGGGTTGGGGAGGGGGTGAAGAGGCAGGGAAGGATTCCAGGCACAGGCTGGCTGTGACCCATCCTCATGTTCTCTCCTTAGGCCTCTGACTCTTCTAGGAGCCCAGAAACACCCCCTGAGCCTCATGACCCTGCTGGTTCCCTACCCCTGACACCCCGGATGGAGAGCCACTCAGAGGAGGAAGATCCTTCCGGGGCTGGCGGTGGTCTGGGCTGCAATAGTCGGGGTGCCCGGACCCAGAATCCCAGGGGCTGCTCAGTGGAGGCGGTGCTGGGCCGCAAGAAGCACCGCCGGCGGCCCTCCAAGCGCAAGCGGCACTGGCGGCCCTACCTGGAGCTGAGCTGGGACGAGAAGCAGCAGCGGGACGAGAAGCAGGGCCAGAGGGCCTCCCGGCTCCGAGAGGAGATGTTCGCCAAGGGCCAAGCCGTGGCGCCCTACAACACCACCCAGTTCCTGATGAATGACCGAAACCCCGAGGAGCCGGACCTGGATGTGCCTCAGGGGGCCTCGCACCCAGGCTCCAGTGAAGAGAGTGAGGCGGAGGACAGCGGCCGGCCGGTCCGAGCTCCTGGCGAGTTCCAGCAGAGGGACTTCTCGGAGACCTATGAGCGCTTCCACACGGAGAGCCTGCAGGGCCGCAGCAAGCAGGAGCTGGTGCAGGACTACCTGGATCTGGAGCGCAGGCTGTCGCTGGCTGAGGAGGAGACCCGGAAGCTGCAGCAGCTGCAGGGGCGCACCAGCCGCCAGTCCTGTCGCCAGGTTGAGGAACTGGCTGCCGAGGTGGAGAGGCTCCGGACAGAGAACCAGCGGCTTCGGCAGGAGAATGAGATGTGGAATCAAGAGGGCGGCCAGGCCCCTCGGGGTGCCCCCTCACCAGTTTAGCCCAAGGAGACAGTTCCATGTAATGCACATGTAGGCCAGCTGGGTCTCAAGGTGGCAGGTGGTGGATGAAAATCACTCCCATCACCCTTGTGCCCCCTGAGAGCAGCTTGACTTCCACCTTGTCATTTCCACAGTTTGTTCTTTGATGGCATTATTATTATTATTATTATTTTAATTTCAGATAGGAAGGGAGATGGAGAGAGAGAAACATCAATGATGAGAATCATTGATCGGCTGCCTCCTGCACGCCCCCTACTGGGGATCGAGCTCACAACCCGTCATGTGTCCCTGACCAGAATGGAATCTGGGACCATTCTGACCACAGGCCAATGCTCTATCCACTGAGCCAACTCGGCTAGGGTAATGGCATCTTATTTTTCACAGAGAAAATAAATGGTTTTGGTGAAATCAAACGCAGTGGCTGGGACTGGTTTCACTAGGGCTCTGAGATTCAAAGCATATTCATCCCAGAAAGGCTTGGGACTTGGGGTCCTAATGCCCCCTTGCCCCGAGCCTGGGAGGACAGCAGACCCCTCTGCATTGGGGTCCTATCAAGATCTCCAGGATGCTTGAATTCTGCTCCGTGTGTTGGGGAGCAGTCAGACTGCTCTGAAGGTTTCATAGAGGGGGGTGTAGAGGTGGGAGGGGGCTCAGTCAGGAGCCCCTGGGTTCAGCCAGAACTTGACTTAAGGTGCCAGATTGCTGGGAGGAGCTGGGAGCTTCCCAGAGGAGAGGGGGCTGGGATCTTGGAGAAGGCCCACGCCCAGGGGTTCCTTCACGGTATGTTCCCGGGTTCCCTGTGTTCTCCCCGTCTTCCCCGCCGTTCAGAGGGCTGGGCTAGATGAGGTATGGGCGCCTTGTGTCTCCTTGTCCTTGATAGCCCCCACCCCGACATCGGCAGCCAGGGGCAGGGCACTTACAGGTAAGCATGCCAGGGAAGTTTTCTCGTGGAAAACCCACGCGGCAGCGGACGACAGTGAATTGATCCCAGCGGAGCGGTGGCCTGGCTTTCCTGGAGCCCCTCAGCTGTGCTCCCTGCTCCTCGGAGCCTAATTGCCTGCATGGTTCATTCCCTCTGAGGGGAGCCCCTCACCTGTCTGCACAGAATAGACAGCTGCACCAGCCTGGGTGATGCAGATACCTCCAACGTGCCAGCAGTATTGGGCTCTGAAGCGAGCTCATACACCCCTGCTGGATGGAAAGGCAGACGAACCCTGTAAGTTGCCAGGACAACTTTCATTTCTGCCCTGCCACACCCAGGCCTCACCAGCCCCTTCTACCATGAAGCAAGGCGCAGGAACAGATTCTAGGAAGGGATGGGATTCAAGAGAATAAAATCTCCCACCCTGTGGGGTCTGCCCCTGGAACTCTGGCCAAGGCTGCCAGCCCCTTCCGTACACCTGTCAGGAAGGGCCAGAGGACCGACTGTCCCCACTTTGCAGACGGGAAACCCAAGCCTTAGAGAGAGTGACTTGTGGGACTCTAGGAATGCTGACCCAAGGCCTGCCTTCCCCTTTGGGTTGCCAGCCAGGACCCGTAGCCCTGGGCAGGCTGGGCAGGCTGGGCAGCCTCTGCTGCTGCATTCCTCAGCGCGGAGCCTGAGGGAGAGGGGAGGGGCAAGGCCATGGGCCAGGACCAAGGGTGTGTACCTGGAGGGGTGTGTGTGTGAGTAACTAGGAGGGAAGAGAGGATTCCAGAGGGCTGCTGGAGGGGGTGGGGGATGGGTGTGTGTGGGTGTCTGGAGATGGCTTGGGTCAGCTGTCCCTGAGTAGGCAAGATCTTCTCACGGGGGAGGGGCAGGTGAGAAGTTCAGCCCTTCTTGGCCCAGAGCTGAGGAGCTTGGAGACAGGAAAGCTGCCAGCTGGCCCTCTCTACCCCCAACACACACAGACGCACACAGACATTCCCCGCACCCCAAACACACACTTGGTCAGGACTGCACCTCGGTGGGTCAATATTCCCAAGGTGGCCCTGGCCTGTGTGACTCGGGCATTATCCTGTGCACTGAAAGGCTGCTAGTTCAATTCCCGGCCAGGGCACATGCCCGGATCGCAGACTCCATCAATGTTTTTCTCTCTCTCTCAAAATCAATAAAAATATGTTTTATTTTTTTTTAAAAGGTACAGGATGGGGCAAGATGAAAATGAAGAAAAGGGTGTGAGCCGGGAAGTGTCAGCAGGAGCTGAAAGGGATTTGTGAAGAAGTCAATGTCACCCCCCCATCTGGTTCCCTGACCTCTGCCCTCCCACCCAGTGGAGCTGGGGGTCCCCAGGCTCAGCTCTTGGGAGAGGCAGCTCAGCTACAGCTGGTGGCCAGGCACAGGTTCATTTTGCACGCCCCCCCACCCCCACCCCCACCCCCCCCACACCCCCCTGTCCCCGCTTCCCTCTCCACTGGTCCTGAGGCCTCAGCTGGGAAGATGGGCTTGGACACACTCCCTTCTCTTCCTCCGGCCTTTCCAGAGCAAATGGACACACTCCCTTCTCTTCCTCCGGCCTTTCCAGAGCAAATGGACACACTCCCTTCTCTTCCTCCGGCCTTTCCAGAGCAAATGCCCAGCGCCTTCCTTCTCTCAAGTCCATTTGCTTTCCAGGACCTTCGTGCTCACCTGGACCAGGGGAGGGAGGCCCAGAAGGCACATGTTTCCCAAGAGTGATTGCAGAAGCTTCCCACCACTCTCATACCCTGCCTGGGGATCCTCATTTCTTCCCCACCCAAGACTCCCCACCTCAGGTGGAAGCTCCTGTGTTCAGCGGACAGCCCCTGCCTGCAATAGGGTCGGGGGATGAGGAGAGGTAGTGAGCGGACAAAGGAGCTGAGGGGGCAGAAGAAGCTGCCAGAAGTGGGGAAGGGGTCGAGGTGAAGCCATCAGTTCATGAGGAAAGAGGTGGCCCGGTCCCATTGCCTCTATTGGGTGCAGGCAAGGACGGCACTGTCCCTTTAAGTGGGGGTGCCACTCAGTGCCCTCCCCCAGCCAGCCCAATTCCTGGGCACACTGAGCATGTGCAGGAGCTGTGCATGTGGAGGGGAGGGAGGCAGAGGGAGAGATTCCGGAGGGAGCTCCTCACCCCTCCTTCCTGTAGCTGCCCCAGTCTCCTTCCTGGGTCTGACAAAGGGGCCATGGTGCTCCCCCTCCCCTTCCCCCATCCCGACCCCAGTGGGTGCTGCCTGCGAGGGTGTGACGGGCAGGCCCTCTCTGCCCTTGAATTCTCAGGCAGCTCCCCTGCAGCCCAGAGGTGGCACACGCTTAGCCCAGTGACATCCTCACTTCCCTGCTGTAGGCGGTGGGTAATCTTCCTATTGCTTAACGTGTTTGCTTTCATTCCACTGGTGCCAGAGGCTTTAAAAGATCCATATACCCGTGATGACGCTCTGCTCTGAAAATTAAAAACAGCTAAAAAGATGAGGTCCCTGCCACACCCCCCGGAGCTTCCAGTCTAAAGTCTGAGAGGAAGCAAACAGCTCAGAGGCTGAGTGAAGACGGCCAAGTCCTCCTCCCTGCTCATACCTCAGGCCTCCTTCACCTTCCCTCCCCTACCTGGGACGTGCCCACTCTTCTTATTCCTTTCATCTCTTAGCTACAGGTACCTTCATTATAATTATTGTCTTTAATTTATTGATTTGAGAAAGGGAGGAAAGGAAGGAAGAAGGAAGGGAGGGAGGGAGGGAGGGAGGAACATCGATTTGTTTTTCCACTTATTTATGCATTCATTGGTTGATTCTTGTATGTATCTTGACCAGGATGGAAACTTGCAACCTTGGTGTATCAGGATGATGCTCTAACTGTTAGGTTAGGTGGCTCAGGAGGCGGCGCAAGAAATAGAGTCCAGTGAATGAGAAAAGAAAGGAAAGGAAAGTTTATTCTGCGTCCCCGGGAGACCCACGTACCCCCAAAGACAGGGCACGTGGATTCACGCCAACATGGAGGGGGGCGCTTTTTTTATACTGCGGTTGGGTGAGGGCGGGGGCCTGAACTGAGGAAGTGTCCGCAGCAGGGATCATCACACATTCAACTGAGGGAGTCTCAGCCGCAGGGGGTGGGCGGGACATTCAGGAATGGGTCAGTATCTGTGTGGGGATCGCTGTGAATTCAGGGAGAAGAAGCAGGTATCTGTGTCTGGCACGTGGACCTGTGAGAAATCCCAGATCTGTGAGAAATTCCAGGGGGAGTCCATTGTCTCATCACATGCCTGCATGTATCCGATCCTGGGCTCTCTCCGACCTAACACTAACCAACTGAGTTACCTGGCCAGGACCTGTACCCTTATTTTTAATTGAGGTGAAATTCACCTAACATGAAATTCACCATTTTTATTTTTATTTTTTAAATATTTGCCGGAACCGGTTTGGCTCAGTGGATAGAGCGTCGGCCTGCGGACTCAAAGGTCCCGGGTTCGATTCCGGTCAAGGGCATGTACCTGGGTTGCGGGCACATCCCCAGTGGGAGGTGTGCAGGAGGCAGCTGATTGATGTTTCTCTCTCATCGATGTTTCTAACTATCTCTCTCCCTTCCTCTCTGTAAAAAATCAATAAAATATATTTTAAAAAAATAAATAAATAAATAAATAAATATTTTATTG